GTTAGTGGGAAGGTTACGGGGAGGTACTGGGAGGGTTACTGGGGGTTACTGGGAAGGTATCGTGGGCACTGGGCAAACTGGGAGGTGCATTGGGATCTCTGTGGGTGGGGTTTGGGGGCCTGGGGTGTAACGGGGGTTACTGGGAGGGCAGTGGGGGTTACTGGGAGATACTGGGAGGGTTACTGGGGGTTACTGGGAAGGTATCGTGGGCACTGGGCAAACTGGGAGGTGCATTGGGATCTTTGTGGGTGGGGTTTTGGGGTCTGGGGTGTAACGGGAGTTACTGGGAGGGCAGTGGGGGTTACTGGGAGGGTTACTGGGGGTTACTGGGAGGGTTTTGGGGGCCACTGGCTGAACTGGGAGGAACTGGGAGGTGCATTGGGATCTTTGTGGGTGGGGTTTTGGGGTCTGGGGTGTAACGGGAGTTACTGGGAGGGCAGTGGGGGTTACTGGGAGGGTTACTGGGGGTTACTGGGAGGTACTGGGAGTGACTGGGAGTGACTGGGCGGTGTCCCCGCAGCTGCGTGGGGGTGGAGGAGGAGGCGGCGGCCGAGATCGATCTCTACCACTGCCCCAAGTGCGAGGTGCTGCACGGCCCCTCCGTCAGTGAGTCCCCTATAGCGCTATACGGACCCGCACCTATGGGGGGGGGTCTCCCTGGGATGGGGTCCCCATATGGGACTGGGCCTGGACCTATAGGACCGGGTCTGGATCATATAGGGCCCTATGGGACTGGGTCTGGACCTATAGGACTGGGCCTGGGTTGTATAGGGCCCCATAGGACCAGGCCTGGGTCATATAGGGCCCTATGGAACTGGGTCTGGACCTATAGGACTGGGTCTGGGCCGTATAGGGCCCTATGGGACCAAGCCTGGGTCATATAGGGCCCTATGGGACTGGGTCTGGACCTATAGGACCGGGCCTGGGCTGTATAGGGCCCTATAGGACCGGGCCTGGATCATATAGGGCCCTATGGGACTGGGTCTGGACCTATAGGACCGGGCCTGGGCTGTATAGGGCCCTATAGGACCGGGCCTGGATCATATAGGGCCCTATGGGACTGGGTCTGGACCTATAGGACCGGGCCTGGGCTGTATAGGGCCCTATAGGACCGGGCCTGGATCATATAGGGCCCTATGGGACTGGGTCTGGACCTATAGGACCGGGCCTGGGCTGTATAGGGCCCTATAGGACCGGGCCTGGATCATATAGGGCCCTATGGGACTGGGTCTGGACCTATAGGACCGGGCCTGGGCTGTATAGGGCCCTATAGGACCGGGCCTGGATCATATAGGGCCCTATGGGACTGGGTCTGGACCTATAGGACCGGGCCTGGGCTGTATAGGGCCCTATAGGACCGGGCCTGGATCATATAGGGCCCTATGGGACTGGGTCTGGACCTATAGGACCGGGCCTGGGCTGTATAGGGCCCTATAGGACCGGGCCTGGATCATATAGGGCCCTATGGGACTGGGTCTGGACCTATAGGACCGGGCCTGGGCTGTATAGGGCCCTATAGGACCGGGCCTGGATCATATAGGGCCCTATGGGACTGGGTCTGGACCTATAGGACCGGGCCTGGGCTGTATAGGGCCCTATAGGACCGGGCCTGGATCATATAGGGCCCTATGGGACTGGGTCTGGACCTATAGGACCGGGCCTGGGCTGTATAGGGCCCTATAGGACCGGGCCTGGATCATATAGGGCCCTATGGGACTGGGTCTGGACCTATAGGACCGGGCCTGGGCTGTATAGGGCCCTATAGGACCGGGCCTGGATCATATAGGGCCCTATGGGACTGGGTCTGGACCTATAGGACCGGGCCTGGGCTGTATAGGGCCCTATAGGACCGGGCCTGGATCATATAGGGCCCTATGGGACTGGGTCTGGACCTATAGGACCGGGCCTGGGCTGTATAGGGCCCTATAGGACCGGGCCTGGATCATATAGGGCCCTATGGGACTGGGTCTGGACCTATAGGACCGGGCCTGGGCTGTATAGGGCCCTATAGGACCGGGCCTGGATCATATAGGGCCCTATGGGACTGGGTCTGGACCTATAGAACCAAGTGTGGCCCATATAGGATTCTATGGGACCGCATCTGAGCCATATAGGGCCCTATAGAGCCCCATCTGAGTTCTATAGAACTCACATCGGGGTCATATAGTCTTGGCCTGGGCTTTATGGGGCCATATAGGACCAGGTTTGGGCCCTATAGAACCTTATAGGAGCTGATCTGGGCCATATAGGACCAGGTGTGGGTTCTATAGGGCTGGGAATGTATGGGGAGGGGGCAGGGAGTGGGTCTTCCTGGGTTGGGGCCATATAGGAGCGGGCCCATATGGAAGTGGGGCCACTTATCCCCTATATGGGACCGGGACCATATAGAATCGGGGCCAATTCCCCCATGCCAGTCCATATGGAGCCATATAGGACCGGGTCCATATGGAAGTGGGGCCATTTTCCCCTATATGGGACCGGGATCATATAGAATCGGGGTCAACTCCCCCATCCCAGTCCATATGGGGCCGAGCTGGTTCCCCCATCCCAGTCCATACGGGCCCAGAGGGGCCTTATAGACCCGGGCCTGTGTGGGTCTATAGGATGCGTGGTCCATATAGATCTATACGTGCCCGCAGTGAAACGCCGCCGGGGCCCCCCGAAGCCCCCCGAGGTGGAGCCGGGTCGCCCAGTCCGTACTGGGACCCCCCAGTTCATCCGGGAGCTACGCGGCCGCACCTTCCCCAGGTGAGAGGAACCTATAGAATCGGGCCCTATAGCTGCTATAGGGGCCTGGCGGGGCAGATCTATAATGTCTCTTGTCGCTTATGGCCGGAGGGGGGGGCCAGGCCCTATAGAGGGGCAGCTCTGAGCTGTTGGGGAGTCGTTCTTCAAAGGGTGTATGGGATCCATAGGGGGTGGGGGTCCCACAGGGGTGTTCTATAGGTGCTCTATAGGTTCCTCTATACACCCCCAGCGCCGAGGAGGTGCTGCTGCGGCCTACAAAGCCCTTGTAGGACCTAGAGGAGCTGTGCAACGTTCTCCAACGTTCTCCAACCTTCTTAAGATGTTTCTTCAAAGGGCATATGGGATCCATAGGGGGTGTGGGTCCCATAGGGGGGTTCTATAGGTGCTCTATAGGTCCTTCTATACCCCCCCAGCGCTGAGGAGGTGCTGCTGCGGCCTACAAAGCCCTTGTAGGACCTAGAGGAGCCGTGCAACGTTCTCCAACGTTCTCCAACCTTCTCCAGAGGGTCATTCAAGGGCTGTATGGGATCCATAGGGGGTGGAGGTCTCCTGGGGAGGTTCTATAGGTGCTCTATAGGTTCCTTTATACCCCCCCAGTGCTGAGGAGGTCCTACTGCGGCCTACAAAGCCCTTGTAGGACCTCGAGGAGCTCCCCAACCTTCTCCAACCTTCTCAAGATGGTCCTTCAAAGAGTGTATGGGATCCATAGGGGGTGGGGGTCTCCTGGGGGGGTTCTATAGGGTCTCTATAGGTCCTTCTATACCCCCCCAGCGCCGAGGAGGTGCTGCTGCGGCCTACAAAGCCCTTGTAAGACCTAGAGGAGCTCCTGAACCTTCTCTAACCTTCTTAAGATGGTTCTTCAAAGGCTGTATGGGATCCATAGGGGGTGGGGGTCTCCTGGGGGGGTTCTATAGGGTCTCTATAGGTCCTTCTATACCCCCCCAGCGCCGAGGAGGTGCTGCTGCGGCCTACAAAGCCCTTGTAAGACCTAGAGGAGCTCCTGAACCTTCTCTAACCTTCTTAAGATGGTTCTTCAAAGGCTGTATGGGATCCATAGGGGGTGGGGGTCTCCTGGGGGGGTTCTATAGGGTCTCTATAGGTCCTTCTATACCCCCCCAGCGCCGAGGAGGTGCTGCTGCGGCCTACAAAGCCCTTGTAGGACCTAGAGGAGCCGTGCAACGTTCTCCAACGTTCTCCAACCTTCTCCAGAGGGTCATTCAAGGGCTGTATGGGATCCATAGGGGGTGGAGGTCTCCTGGGGAGGTTCTATAGGTGCTCTATAGGTTCCTTTATACCCCCCCAGTGCTGAGGAGGTCCTACTGCGGCCTACAAAGCCCTTGTAGGACCTAGAGCAGCTCCAGAACCTTCTCCAACATTCTCCAACCTTCTCCAACCTTCTTGAGATGTTTCTTCAAAGGGCATATGGCATCCATAGGGGGTGTGGGTCCCATAGGGGGGTTCTATAGGGTCTCTATAGGTCCTTCTATACCCCCCCAGCGCCGAGGAGGTGCTGCTGCGGCCTACAAAGCCCTTGTAAGACCTAGAGGAGCTCCTGAACCTTCTCTAACCTTCTTAAGATGGTTCTTCAAAGGCTGTATGGGATCCATAGGGGGTGGGGGTCTCCTGGGGGGGTTCTATAGGGTCTCTATAGGTCCTTCTATACTCCCCCAGTGCCGAGGAGGTCCTACTGCGGCCTAGCGGGGCCCAGCTGACAGTGGAATACCTGGAGGAGAAGACCTTCAGCGTCCCCATCTTGGTGGCCCGCAAAGAGGGGCTGGGCATGACTTTACCCCCCCCGACCTTCACCCCCCGGGACGTGGAACACTACGTGGGTGAGTTTTGGGGTTCAGGGGGGGGTTGGGGGGGGGCCAGGTGGGGGGGCCCCCCGGGACGTGGAACACTACGTGGGTGAGTTTTGGGGTTCAGGGGGGGGTTGGGGGGGGTCAAGGTGGGGGTCCCCTTGACCGTTCTATAGGGGACCTCGGGGTGGGGCATCTATAGGGGCCGAGAAGGTCATCGACGTCATCGACGTGGGGCGCCAGGCCGACTGCCGCATGCGCTTGGGGGACTTCGTGGCCTACTTGGGGGGAGCCCGGCGGGACCGCGTCCTCAACGTCATCAGCCTGGAGTTCTCCGACACCCGGTGGGTCACCTCCCCGTCCGTCCGTCCCAGTAACTCCCAGTATGGCCCAGTAACCAACCCCCCAACTCTTCATGGCATCACAGCATCCCTTGGTGTCCTCCCATGGGACGTCTCTGGTCTCCCCCCACCTCAAGACCCCAACCTTGGGACCTCCAAGGACCAATGTCACCCCCTCAAGGAGGTCTTGTGTCTCCAGTGTGTCCCAGTAACTCCCAGTATGGCCCAGTAACCCCCAGTATGGCCCAGTAAGCCCACATGGTGTCCCTGGGACCACCACATCATCTCCTGGTGTCCTCCCATGGGACGTCTCTGGTGTCCCCCCATCTCCAGACCCCAACCTTGAGACCTCCAAGGACCAATATCACCCCACCAAGGAGGTCCCATGTCCCAAGTGTGTCCCAGTAACTCCCAGTATGACCCAGTAAGCCCACACGGTAGCCCTAGGACCACCACGGCATCCCTTGGTGTCCTCCCATGGGACGTTTCTGGTCTCCCTCACCTCGAGACCCCAACCTTGGGACCTCCAAGGACCAATGTCACCCCCCCCAAGGAGGCCTTGGGACCCCAGTGTGTCCCAGTAACTCCCAGTATGGCCCAGTAACCCCCCATGGTGTCCCTGGGACCACCACATCATCTCCTGGTGTCCTCCCATGGGACGTCTCTGGTCTCCCCCAACCTCAAGACCCCCACCTTGGGACCTCCAACGACCAATGTCACCCCCCCAAGGAGGTTTTGTGGCCCCAGTGTGTCCCAGTAACTCCCAGTATGGCCCAGTAACCGCACATGGTAGCCCTAGGACCACCATGGCATCCCTTGGTGTCCTCCCATGGGACGTCTCTGGTCTCCCTCACCTCAAGACCCCCACCTTGAGACCTCCAAGGACCAGTGTCACCCCCCCAGGAGGTCCCGTGTCCCCATTGAGCCTCCCAGTAACCCCCAGTATGACCCAGTAACCCCACATGGTAGCCCTAGGA